GTTTTGTTCAATGAACTTGTATAAATTGTTTTATCTGTCTGATCCATTTCTAAATCTAACTTATTTAAAACTACGGATGACCTGATTTTAAGTTCGTTTATGAACTTACTGATGCTCCCTGGGTAAGGTGTTTGATGTACGTGGCGGATGACATCTTCGTATGGCCTATGGTCCTTGAATGCTTTAATCAGGGCCAGTTTCGTCTGCATCCATGTTGTGGTTTTTTCTTCTGCGATGACTGCTTGTGCTGAGTCAATAATGGTCCTCTCGATGGCCCCGTAGATGATATGGTTTTGCCTCACATCCTGTGTTGGGTATAACTGCAACAGATACTCGACCCGTGTAATGAATCGGCTGAGCTCTATTGGGTTGCCGTCGAAATAAGGCAGTTCCTTGATTTGTCCAATCAATTGATTGAGATGGATCTCGGATAACTGTGGTGTCGCCATTTTTATCGCTTTTGAAGTTTTTGTATTGCAATATTGTCGCACGAAAATTCGTGGAGTTATTGACCGAATTGGATTTTTAATTAATTGTCTTTATATACAGTCGCACTGCACATAAATTCTTTTGCGGATTTCTTTTAGTCACTTTCGCTGATCAGGATAAACTAGTCGTATAGTATTATCCTTCTTTGTTGATCAGTACCGATAACTTGGTGTAAGGACCTTTTTAGAAATCCTACCGACTGCGCCAATTAAATGTTTGCACCATAAGTTTTCAATAAAAAAAATTATCTTTATTTTTCTTATGTCCAACTGGTTACAAATATTCTTTATTTGAAGAACACCAACCTACTACTTGTAGATCTTAAACTGAACTCCACTCCTAACTCTGACTTCTTTTACGATCAAACCTCGGTTTTGGAGCTTTCGAGCTTTACTTGAGTGTGTTTATTCTAATTGAGTGTGTTTTATTGTTTAGGCTGAGAACTTTCCCGATTGGACTTTGGATTCTTGCTTTTGAATTTGTTTTTGTCTTTGGTCCCGAAATTTGAGTTTTACGATTGGGTTTGGGGATCTGAATTATGGGAACGTGCTGAATGCATGTTTCCCTCGGTCTGTTTAGTCTGAGGATTTTTGTTTATAAGTACTTTTCCATCCTCAATTATGTTTAGGTCTGATTTGGGCTAGGATCATGTTCGGTGCATTTGCCTATTTGAATCTAAGTCTCAAGGGTAAGTTCTGACAAATACTTAATGTGTATGTGTGAGTGTGTGGGTGTGTGGACATTTACATAGTTTATGTATAATGCTATGGATATGTCACTATATATACATACATGATTATATATATATACCGATATATCCGATACATGCCCACGTGCCGGCATGTACCACATACGCATATATAGCCAGTATTCGCGTTCTCGTGAAAATTGCAATGTCTGCAGCGTGCAGCTTTTGTTTGCCGCCAGTGGGTGGCCTCTGAAAGTTGGGTGCCATGCCTCAGCAGCAGCAAGTGGGCTTACACTTTTTATCGACACTGTCTATGTGCCAGGCAAATGGTGCAAGAAATCGCTCCATCACATTAAAAACTTGATGGGCCATTCTATTAGAGTTTAGAAAATCAACAAGCTAGCGGGAAATCCTAGGGGATTATATATATCAGACACCCTTATACTCTATTTATGTATATACTATTATTTTATCATTACCTTCTTCGGAATATCCTTACTAGGGATCGGAAAAACCTTCTCCTTCATCAGAGCTGTTTTGATAAACATTTGGGCTTCCTTTTGTGGCTCCATCAGTCGGCAATGGGGAAATTATCAATTCAGGCACATAAAGCAACATAAATATTAATTGAAAAATATTTTCGCATCTCTCGGCAAAAGGAAATCAAGAAGGAAAACTACACACACCAACACAGGCAGGACACATACGCCTGTGATGAAATTATGTGCATTTGCATTAAACAAAGCATTAAATATGCAAAAGTGCAAGAACCCTACTCACCTCCCCACACCATCCTTGCCCCAACCACCCTCAGCTCAAAAATTGTTGCCCGCACACGGTCGTCCTGCCATCGGGACGGGGGTGGGTTGCAAGTAGGAGGGGGAGAGCAGTACAGAATCGGAAAGCATATTGCTGGCCGCAGCAGGCTCTGTTGGCCGAATGGGCCTTGGGTGACCAAAAATAGAACAAGTCAAATATTTTTCGACAATTTATGAGCCAGCCTCCTCCCCAGGATGGGTGGATGGTGCTGGTCAGCTTGTAACGTGTATGTCCGCCGCTTCCACATCCACTTGCCCCGTTCCCAGGACTCGTTGGAAAAAATGCCATTTGCAATTAAAGCAAACAAGCAACGCAGCCGTTCGGCGACGTCGACTTGCTCCGCGTTTTCGCTTTCTTTTTGGCCGGCTACTTTTTGGCAATTGCATTTTTTTACTGCCTCTCCCCCCATTGAGCGAGCGGGGCACCCCAGCCGCCCAAAAAGCCACCCATCTGCCCAACCACCCAAATGGCAAATGGCCGAGCGAGCACCCCAGAAACCACTCACCGTCCCCATTCCCTTCGTTTGGTCACATGTGTGAATTATAATTTCGCGTCGCGCTCAAAAGCACGCTACATAAAAAACACAGACAGCGAAAGAGATAGGACGTCGCGAACGAGAAGGGGCTATTGGGGCTGGGGCAGTGGTCAATGGGCAGTGGGAGACGGTAGAAGTGGCAGAGCAGGTATAATAAGAAGAAAAGCAGCGGCTGCCATCGAGTTTTCCATTTCGCGCCGGGATTTTGCTTATCACATTCGAGGCTGTCAAGTGCCCCGCTTTCCCATTTCCCTCTCTTGAGCCCACCCACGTCCACCTGCTCCATCCGACCGACCCCATCCCCATCCCCATCCCTTTGCCGGCATCTCTGGCTCTTTGCAATAATTCAATTCATTTTCTATTTTTTGACTTATTTTCATTTGACGGTGGCGCAACAAAAACAGCAAAAGGCAGCAACGAAAATGTTGCTGCCACCAGAACAGTGGGGTCTGCTGCTTCAGCTGCCTCAAGTGGGCTTCACTGTCCGAATCTGGCGGATACGATTGTACTGACTGACCAAGGCGATGGGGTAGATACACATTGGTTCTTCCATCCGTCGCGACGGAAGGTAAATGGCACATTGGCAGGCAGTTTAATTCCAGTTACCTTTTGAAATTAATAATATTTCATATACTAACTCCAATTCCAATTCAATAAATAGAATAGAATCCACTCTTTATGAGGAAACTTTATCCTGTATCCAATCTGTGCCGTTTTTCCTTTTTTTTTCCTTTACCTCCTCAATGCTAAATCAGTTTTTAATTTCCGCTCATTTGCGAGGCTGCAAAAAATAGAACTGCAATGGAACAAAAGCCGGGCGACAGCGTCAGCGCCTCATTATGGTTGCCACGTTTTGTTCTTCAACTTTTAGCGGCAGTATTCCTCCTGTAGGGAGGAATCTCATTCCCACACTGGCACACTCACACTCCTGGCCAAGTCCCATTCAATTGAGCGTGAGTAAATATGTTGAAAAGTTAATTCATTGCACATCAGTGGACGCCCAACTACTTGTGGGTGTATGTGTGGCATAGTGGCTGTCAGCGGCCGTCTGTTTGCCGCCAGTTTGCATAAAGGACATGCACCCACACCTATACACGCTACTTGCACATCCAGGGACACTCTCAGGACATTAACGTTGCCAGCACTGGGTTTCTTTTCCTCTTTTTTTTTTTTTTCATACACTCTGGCTCTCGGCGTGTCATAAATTTAGTTCGATTTGCTGTTCAACGACATTAACGTGGTTCGTCCTGGCCCAGGACATTCTTCCATTTTTTCTCCTATTTAAGTAGTTGCTGTTGTGCCACTGACGGCGCCAATAAACGTCAATTTCTAATGTATTTGCCGCACGTTGCACTGAAATTTATCAAGTCCCTGCTCTAATTAATGTCCTTGCTGTTAGTTTTCGAATAGATAAGAGCGTGGTTTTAAATACACTTACATGGCTACTTGATCGGCGATAGAATTCCCTATTCCTGGTCTTTAATTGCCGCACTTCCAACGCCCCCAAACAGATGTATATGTATTTGCATAAATACTCTTTTTTTTAACACTTTTGCGTCGTGGCTGTCACGTTTAGCGCTTATTTTTATTGCTTTTCCTGGGGACCTTTTCCGATTTTCTCATTTTTCTCCCTTCATTTTTATTTTTTTTGGGTTGGTATTTTGCACTACAATTATGTTAATTTCCTATGCAAATAAAATTTAATTGAAGCTCCGCTCCGCCACGGCGCAAAGAAGGGTCCTTCCTGTTGGCGGACCCGCTCCTGCTAAGCGCATTTGGCGTCGCCAGCATTAATTGCCAATAATTATATTGGTTTACCTTTCCCACCATTACGTTTTTTTCTTCTATTTCCTAAAGAGTCTGGCCTCTGTCCTGGGTGTTTACCCAACAGCCACGACAATTCTTTAAATTGAAAGCCCTTTTTTGGAAAAGGACCAACGCTGTAATGCCACTTGATGGCGCGATCATTTAAACTGCTAATCAAGCAAATATTGATACATTTCGCTGGCATATTCATTACAGAGCCACGAAACAATTGCAACCAATTAAATTTGCATAAATTGGCCAGCTCATCCGCCAGTGGTCAGATCAAAATGCCAAACAATAAATGTGCACTGACAATTACAACAAAAATTAAATTAACTTATTAACACGCCCCATGTAGATGTCGGAGCCTCGGACCGAAATGAAATGAAATGACACAAATGAAATGTAATTCGAGTCCGAAAATGCCATCGTTGGCATTTTAAATATATAATCCAATCAGCAAACAATGAACGGGGATTCTGGGCTCGTCATTAGCCCACGGCATGGGTTATTTCTGTCCAACAATTGCCCAACAAAATATGTAATTGAATTTGGTCCCTGATTTGCAGTTGCTCGAACGATTGGTTGAAAATTTATTAAATAAGTTGCTACACAAATCAAAGATTTTCCACTAAATTTCCTCCCATTTCTGGCCATTTTCAGGACTTTGACAAGGAGATCAGCTGCCACAAGATCCACTCGCCCACCAGCAGCAGTCACGCCCATTCCCTGCACCACCACCACCATCACCACGGTTTGGGCCGCAGCAGCAATCGTGATGATGAAATGGAGACCACGGACGGCCACGCCCTCCTGTCGCCCCCGCCACCCTCTCACTCCCACTCGCACTCGCCCTTCGACAGCAAGGATCACGTCAAGGAGCTGGAGTTCTACAAGAATCTGGCGGCCAAGGCGGCTTCCCTGGCCAACCATCAGACCTCGCCGCCCCTGCCCATGCCCCTCCCACTGCCCATGCAGATCGACGGGGAGGAGGACGAGAACGAGGGCGACGGTGAGGGAGAGGCGGAGACGGAGGATCAGGACCAGGCGGCCGAGGTCCTTCGAATACGGCGTGAAGAGCAGGCCCAGGCCAAGGCGTTTGCGGCTCATCTGAATGGAACTAGTGAGTACATATCGAAAGCCAACAAACAGTTCAATCAAAGCACTTAACAAATCCTTTCAGTCAAGGATGGAATCTTGTAATATGGTTTATAAATTAAAGAATTTCCTAAACTGGTTCTAGTCTTTAAGTTTTCTTGTTTTGTAAACTGAATTTACATTTGCTTAACGCTCTAATTCCCTTAGACTAATTTTGTGTAATTTATCTAAGACTTCTTCGCCCGTCGAGTTTCCATCCTTGAATTCCACAACGACACGCAGTCATTTATCCCCAAAAAGCCAGCCTGCTCCAAAAGTAAACTAGCAATTAGTGCTGGCTGCCCCTTCTGTCCTTTATAAGCCCCCCCTAACCATCCCCCCAACCATCTCCCATCCCCGATCCACTTTGCACTAATTCGGCAAAAGAGTTTGGCAACAAAAACTAATGACAACATTTTGTGTGACTCTTGTTCAAAATCCCACAGTGCAAGACATGATAAATTTGCAAAAATTACAAAATTTGGCAACGCTACAACAGCATCAGCAGCAGCAGCAACAGCAGCAGCAACATCCGCATCAGCATCCGCATCATGGACATCATCATCATCCCGCCACGGCGGCTGCATTGGCAAGTCTTCAGGGCTTAGCCGCCTCCGTGTTCAATTCGCCGTTGAATCTCAGTGTGGGCGGAGATCCACCGACAACCGCAACAGGACCAGGAGCCGGGGCAGGCGGCGGACCAACGGGGGCATCCACATCGGCCTCACCCACCCACAACGGCGGTGGCAAAACGGGCAAGACGGCGAAGGGCGGCAGCTCGGGGAGCAACACCGGGGGATCTGCTACCAACTCCGGCTCCGGCTCGAGCTCTGCCCAACAGCAACAGCAGCCGGATAATCCCGCCAGCAGCAGCTCGCCGCACGCCCTCAGCGCCAGCACTCTGGCCAATGTCCTGGCGGCGGCCACCGCCTCGCCACCACCCGCCCTCCAGGCACCGCCAGCCAGCGCCCAAATGCCCCAGCTGATTCTGGCGTCCGGGCAGCTGGTGCAGGGCGTTCAGGGTGCCCAGCTGCTCATACCCACGGCCCAAGGTGAGTGGGTGCGGTTGGGGGTTTGATTTTAGTTTCCCGGGTCTGTATGGGTATCAATAACATAGTTGACTTGGTTTGACTTTTTGGCGGATTTCGTGGACGAAGGAGTCGCGGGGTCTTAAAGCTTATAAAGCGATTAGGTAAACTTTCAATTTCCTCTCCCCATCACTCCGTGCGGAAAAAGGATACGGCGTAATCCTGACAAAAATGACGAACAAAATGTTAGCCGTTTATAGAAGGAATAATAGAAACTGTATTTTTTTTTAAAGGGTTTAAGGGGTTGCAGACAAAGGATATTTCTTTTATAAAAACTAGAATATTTTCAAATATTTGGTGATACTTTTTAAGGACCGCCTTTTCTTTTTAAATTTTTAATAACGTTTCCTTGTTCAAATGTTTTCCAGGCATCGCTGTTCAGACCATTCTCACAATACCCGTGAGCCCGCAGATTCCCACCACGGAGCAGTTTCTGCCCAATGCCTTTGGCGCCTTTGCCAGTTACCAGCAGCAGCAGCAGCAACAACAACAGCAGCAGCAACGTGACTTGCTGCCACCGTCGCTGGCCGCCTTGCAACATGCCAGTGCCCTGCCCCAATTGGCCCAAACCCCGACGAATTTACTCAAACCGAATCTGTTCTCCACGGGCGTGCAGCAGCTGCTCACGGCACTGCATCCGGAGCTCTTTGCCGCCGCAGCAGCCACGCACCAGCAGCAACAGCACCAGCAGCAGCAGCAACAAGTGCAGCAGCAGCATCACCATCAGCGGGAAAGGGAGCGCGAGCGGGAGAGAGAGAGGGAAAGAGAGCGGGAACGGGAAAGGGAACGTGAACAACACCTGGCCATCGGTCACCTGCCTCACTCTCACTTGGCCGCCGATCTGAGACGCTCAGCGGATCGATCTCCGCCAGCACGTTCACCTTCCGGCGGTAGTCCTGGACTGCCAGCCAAGGCAGCACCACCTCCGCCGCCAGGAGCCGCTTTTCTGCTGCAGCAACAGCTGCACATCAAGCCCGAAACGCAGACCCACCTCCACCATCACCTGCAGCAGCAGTCCTCCCAATCGGTTTCCTCGTCGATGCCGCAGATCAGCCTGCGTCATCCGGACGAGCTGACCGCCCCGCAGATGGACCTCAAGCCGTTGGAACTTGGAGGCAGCAGCTCGCCACCAGCTCCACCACCACGGCATCACTTTGGACACGGTTTGAGGGGCTCTTCGGCAGTGTCGCCCAAGCACAGTCCGCAGGGCAGGAATCAGGGCAACGCCTCCGCTGGAATGAATCTCAGTCAGCATCACGAACGGCTGGAGCGATTGGAGCGCCAAGAGCGACATGAGAGGCGTTCCCACACGCCCACGGCGACAGCCACAAGGGCGAGCGTAACATCGAGCTCGGGCGGAGGTCATCTGTCAGCCGGTCGACTCTCTCCGCCGGTGTCAGCGCCTCCCAACTCGGCGGCCACCAGCATCAGCGACAGAGGCTACACTTCCCCCCTATTCCGTACGCACTCGCCTCCGGGCCACCCCCTCTCAATGGGCGGATCCCCGCGTCTGGAACGGGACTACCTGGGCAATGGACCAAGCTCCGGAGCAGCCACCTCGACCAGCAACTGTGGAGCGCCGGCGATAGGAGGCTCCAGTGCAGCGGCCAACGTACTTAGCAGCATCAACAGGTGAGAATATAAACCATTACTGAAAGTAACAAATTATAACCTTCTTGTAACAGACTCAATGCCTCGAATGGCGAACTGACCATCACCAAGTCCTTGGGAGCACCATCGGCTACGGCTACGAGGGCCTCGTCCGCGTCGCCCCGAGACGATTCACCGGGTCCGGGACCATCAACCTCGGGCGGATCCATCATGCAGCCGCTCAAGTTGAGCCCCTCGTCGCGGAGTGAGCCGCCGCACATGTCGCCCAATGGGAACGACAACGACAACGACCTGCTCATGGACTCGCCGAGTGAGTAAAGATCGATTCTTGCTAACATTCAGATTACTCAAGGGATGCCAACTGGTTACGAATTCGATCAGAGCTAAACAACCCAGAGCAAAGGGTCTATAATGTTTTTCAAAAACCAATCAACCAGTTTGCATCCCAACTTTAAAGCTCATAAGTTAGCTTAGAATTAATTTCTCATACATTCTTTTTTGGGCAAACCGACTCTAAGCATCCTTCAGCGTGTAATGATCCCAAACAGCTATGCCTGTCGAAACTCAAGTGCACTTCCCAAATGTACTTGTATAATTGGAGGGAGGTGGGCTCACTAGGGAGCTTATGATGATTTGATATTTCAAGAGCCGCACTCGTGTGCAACCCGGCGTATGAGTGATATATGTTCATAGGCACAAAGGCGAGGGCGAAAATCAACTTTTTGGCCAACATTAATTAACGAAATTTTCGTCGAAAGCCAACTTTCCGGCTGCCTCGTTTTTGGCATTGCCAAAAGCCGTAACAAGTTGACTGCACTTTATGTAATTTTCCAAAAGAAAATCAACTTGAAACTCTCAGTCTGTCGGGGTCCGTGTGAGTGGCAAAAGTTTCGCCGTGCATTTACACGACTTTCCCGATCCGGGATGTGGGGTCCGGGATGCGGATTCATAATTGATGCAGCAGCTGAGGGGCCTGGGGGCCCGAGAGACCGGGGATTAGGTGAGCAGCTAAACAAAACTTGCAAGAATGCATGCCCCAAAGTTGAGAGATGTCAACCGAGAGTGTTAGGCAAATTAGCAGAAGCGCTGACGTTGTCACGCTTAGCATTTGGCATTGGATTAGGTTTCGGGCCAAGACAGCAAGGAGGCTCAGGATGAGGTACACACACACACAGCAACTCCTAGATACATATGTATATAGAAGCTGTCAGAAGGCATTTGGCCCCAGTTGATGGGATTAGCTGGGGTGGCGGATTATGGCCACCACCGGAGGCAGAGTCGCTCTCTTGTTTGAGCATATTGAATTGATTAGAGTCCCCGGCAAGCTGTAGTCTTCCGCTCGGCAGGCCTTAATTGAAACTTTTGGATGCATTAAAAATGCAATCAGCACAAGCTCTAACAACGACAAGAAATCAAGTCACCACCCCACACTCTGTCTCAGCCAGAGCCATCACCCATTAGAGCTGGGCCATCAGGATGGTATAGCTACCTAAAGCAGTCTCGATTGCGACAACGGATCGTTTGCGCATACAAATTGCAGACAATATGCGGCTTAATTACTACTAATTGATGCATACAAAAACTTAAGATGTCTTCCGCATTTAATGACATATTTCAAACGCTGCAGCAAACAACAACCATCCGACCAGCCATCCAAACATCCAGCCAGCTGGCTGGCAAACAAAGCAACCAAACTGCGACGACAGCTTGAGTTACGGCTTGGCAAAGGACGCTTCCTGTGGATTCTTGCTTCGTACCCACAGTCCTGGCCCCTCTTGGAATCCTCCAATCCATTCTCGCATCTTAATTACCGCTAAAGCACAAGGCAGCAGCCATTCAAGTTGCTGTTGCAGTTTGTTATTGCTGTTGCTGCCAGGACCCTTGTCTTTCCCGTCTTGCATATCATTAATAAATAAATCAAAATTCTGCGCGAGTAGTTGGCTGGCTGCAGATTTCCAGCTTACAGCTTCCTCGCTAACAAATTAGGCAGATAAAAGCCGAGAGCTTCGCACTTGCCTAATAGACAAGAACAACTTGCAACGTGGGGCATCTCCGCCGTGTACTTTATCAATTTACCTGCGCTGTGCGGTGCCATAATGTTTTCCCATTACCGCAATTAACTGTAATTAAGACCACGACACGGTAGCAATTTATGGCGACATTTCCTTGGCGTAATATAATTTGTCATTTATTAGTTAGACTTAATCTGGAATGTAATTACAACTGGAAATGACACTAACCGGATAAATTCTCTTTTTAATTTTTAGATGAACCCACCATCAACCAGGCCACCACCAATGTGGTGGACGGCATCGATCTGGACGAGATCAAGGAGTTCGCCAAGGCCTTCAAGCTGCGGCGACTTTCGCTGGGCCTCACCCAAACGCAGGTGGGTCAGGCCCTGTCGGTGACCGAAGGACCCGCCTACAGCCAGAGCGCTATTTGCAGGTGAGATATGGATGGACAAGCTTAATGATTATTTAAGCTTAGGGATACAAGAAATTCGCGGTCCAACTTCTCTAATTCTTTTCCCATAATCCCCCTAAAAAATCTAAAGTTTTTAATTTTTTATTGACAAAATTTATTAAAGTATTTTATATTTCAAAGAGAAGTTTGGCTTTCCTAAAACTTTTGTAAAACTTTACCGTTTGGAGTCATTAGGATTTCGGATACGTTAACCCCTTTTAGCAAATGTGTTTCATTATATTTTATCAAAAAAAAAGAATATTGTTTGCTTAAATCCACATATTTAAGTTTACCTGATTTGTTTTTCGTAAACTTCTGGAACCGATGTTCGTAGAGTGCCAGGACATTTTCGAATAAAGCTAAAACAATAGCGATTAAATGCTAAATTAAGCACGAAAAACAGACATCAAACAAATTAAATGCTAAATTAATTTTATTTATTTTATTTGTTTATTTTTTCGATTCAAACGCCAACTCTATCTAACTCTCTCTCTCTCAACATCGAATGTCGAACGCTACGAATCGACGAACGCCACCCGAAACTCGAATACAATCGAAACACTCGAATGCTGACTATCGAATGCAAGCAGTGCACTCGCTGCGCAGATGTACGCCGCTCAACTATCGACGCAGCAACAAAACATGTATGTGTGATCCACTCTGAGGGTGTGTTAGTGTCTGGTGTGTGCTTGTGTGTGGGTGTGTGTATCTGTGTGTGGTTGTGAGTCCTGGCTTAACCCAGAGAAACCTAACTAAAGTGCAAGTCTCATTAAACTGTTCATTTCGCCATGTATTTCTTTTGTTTCTCGTTTGATTTGCATGAATGCGCTTTATAAATTGGCCCAGGGCATTGCCAATGAGCAGAGTTCATAAGCAGCTCATAAAAAAAACTAACTAATAATATCAATTGAAGATACAGAAAGAGCGTTCCCAGTACCAAATTGAATGCTAATTGACAATGTCCTGGCACTTTAGTTATGTTTCTTTTGCGTTAAGCCGAGAGACCGAGCGAGCAACGATCTAATTCCATCAATATCCAACCCAAAATACCAGGTTCGAGAAACTGGACATCACACCAAAGAGCGCACAGAAGATCAAGCCTGTGCTGGAGCGCTGGATGAAGGAGGCCGAAGAGAGGTGAGAGTATGGAGGCAGTTCCACACGCCGTTTTCGCCCAACGTTGGGCGCCACTGGGAAATGGATTTAACTAACAGGATACTTTCTTTTTATTCCTTTTATTCTTTATAGCCACTGGAACCGCTACAAATCCGGGCAGAATCACCTAACCGACTACATCGGTGTCGAGCCGTCGAAAAAGCGCAAGAGAAGGACATCTTTCACGCCCCAAGCACTGGAGCTGCTGAATGCGCACTTCGAACGGAATACGCATCCATCGGGTGAGTGGTAACTTTCAGTTACAACAAAACTCCGAATCGTGGACATATCTAAGTTTATATCCTCCCCAACAGGCACGGAAATCACCGGACTGGCTCACCAACTGGGCTACGAACGGGAAGTGATCCGGATCTGGTTCTGCAACAAGCGGCAGGCTCTCAAGAACACGGTTCGCATGATGTCCAAGGGCATGGTCTAGGGCCAGGGGCCCTTGTAAATAGATTATTCTTGTATATAGCTAGGTGTATAAGTGTACGTGTGTATTGTGTGTATTACAGTGTGATAGTTGTAAAACCAACTAGAGTTTAACAGTTAGGCCATGTAAAAACAGTGTGTCATAGCATTTACATAGGACATCGGCTGACGGAGGGCGAACCACAACCCGAAACCCAAAAACCCAATCCAATTGAATATCTAGAGACTAAGTATTACTTAACACTTATCATATCCCAAATAGCCTAAAAGTAGTCTAAAGTCCCACGGCAGACTTGTGCAGTTTTAGGCCAAATTTTATCACATTGATGTGCCATTCCAAAAAAATGAAACAAAAGTTAAAATGAAAGCAAAACGAAACCATTTCATACCGCATAACAAATTTAAAATTAATTGTTTAACAAACATTCAAAATGGATAACTGCATGAAATTAATGTATGACCCCGGCAGTCTATGAAATTCTTAAAAGCTCGCAAGAAATGAGTAAAAATATTTGCATTTAATGCGTTGGCTAAACTTGTATACTGAAATGAATTTGATTTCAACCATTTATAAAACAAATTATAACCTTAGCAACTAGCCAGTTCATTTTCGGTAAGAAAACTCTATATGGTAGCACTCAAAGGACAAGCAAATAATAAAGACAACAAGTGTTTAGGATAAGCAACTTTATGTAGCAATTTAAAATCATGATTAAAAGAACAAGAAACGAACAAATATTTCCACTACGAAATTTAAATGATACACAGCAAAAACAAAATACAAAAACAGCTACAATTGAACAAAAATATTTAAATGATTGTAATAAAAAAACTACTATTTAAAAAATTAAAACATAGATGTGTTTATTATGACTTGGGAAAGGGCTTATGTCTTATTGGCAATATCACAAAGGGGAAACACTTTTAATAAGTGTAGTAATTCCCATCTTTTCAGAAAATCTAAGAAAAAGGCTTAAATGGCAAGAAAGGTTTCTTAGCTGTTAAATTCCTAGTCGCTTAGCATGGCTTCCAGGTTCTTTTGTTTTTGCCAAACGCGATACTCGATAAGGCCATAGCTGAAAATATGAGTTTTATTAAAACAAGCGACATAGAATGGGTATTAGACCTAAAACTTACCCTATACAGCCCACTAGCATTACGGCCATCAAGATAACCAGTTTCGTGGATGTACAGAGCTGCGAGCTGATAACATAGCCAATAACCGAACCCGTGCTCTCCCACAACCGGAAGTTGCTATAAGCGGCAATCAGATGGTTCGGAAACAGGATACCATAGAAAGCTGTAACGGTTTTCGTTTGAGCCAAGTTTATACGCGAGCTTTCAGTCCACTTACCATTAACCACAACCAGCCAGACGCCATCGCAGATGCCCCAAATTGCCGCAAAGGTGCAGTATCGCAGATAGTCGCCCTCTCGTGCCTCCCAGTGGTACATGTAGATGAGCAGGCAGAGATTAAGGACAGCACAGAGTCCGGCCAGGGTGACTCTGCCTATGCGCTCTACCAGAGCCCCGGCTATTCCGGCAGCCACTGCGTTGGCCACTCCAAAGCAGATCATGGCGAATCCAATCCTTGAGATGCCCCAGCCGCAGGCCACGAAGGAGCGGGTGAAGTCCACGGCCAGGAACGCCTCCTCCAGGCCAATGAACATTGTAATTGGTAGCATCAGGATTTGGCGACGCTTCCGGAGGAGGTTTATGGTCACTGTGAGTAGTTTCAGTCCGGAAAGGCCATCGCCAGTGTCACCACGTTTGACGCCATATCTTAAATAGTAATTAATTATAATCTAATTCCATTGTAATGAACTGAAGTACTCACCGCTTAAGGGAACTAACACCAAAGATCATCATGACAACAGCCCCCGCCATGCACGCGAGGAAAATAGAATTGAGGAGCTGGATCTGCTCGGGGGCGGGAGGCACTAGATTGGGATTCGCCTCGGCTCCCACTCCTGGGCAGAAACGAGCGCCACAGAGCTCGGCCACCCTGCTGCGCTCCAGTTCCAAGGCAGTTTCATTGGCCGGTGATTGAGTGGCCGGGGCACTTAGCGTCAGGACCGAGGAGGAGATCAGATTGCCCCAAACCTGAGCCATCTGGTAGAAGATGAAGAACAGGCCGAAGAACTTGACAGTGTTGACATCCTTCCGGGACTTGTTGCCTCGGACCTGGGTGAGGGCCTCGGAGACGGTGGAGAGGTAGGTGCACTTGGAGCACCACAGCGGTCCACCACCAAAACCAACCATCAGAGCGGCCGGTATGAGGGTCTCGAACCGGGGATAAAACTGGGCGGCTATATACGGCATATAGGCGAAGAGGGCCAAGGCCATGGTCAGTCGACAGCCGAACCAACTGTTGATTAAAAAACACAGAAAAGTGAGGAAAGGCGGCTAGAAGTGGGAGTGGGAGGCTGGAGGCAAGTGGCAAGTGGCACATGCTTAGCAGGCGGTCATTTATTTCGGTCCCCAGGGCCATAAATCTAAATAAATCGAGTTAACTGATTAAAGTTGCCAGAGCCAGCAGTTCGTGCCTCGAATAAGCCAAGTGAGGCGACGGTCGCTATAAATTAGCGATTTGTTTAAATGTCAGATGGTTGCCACCCTCCCACCCACGATATGGGTTACTCTGGGAATAGGTTTCGGAAACGGAATTCAAATGAGGAGGATGGGGAAAGTGAAAGTGAAAGGGGCTCTAGGAGAAAGGTTCTAATCCAAGGACTTCCTGTTGACATTTTTACAGCCAAATGCGCCTGCTGACTGCGCTCTCGGTGTTGTCACATCTGCATAAAAACACCATAAAAAACGCCGCCAGACAATCAACGAAACTTTTATGGCACGCCACACGTTCGAAAATGAGTTTCAGCCTCTCAGGAGACAATAACGAACAAACAAGCAACAAAAGTTCAATAATTATATGGGAAGAGTTTAATGTTTAAGAGGTATATTTGCATTTAATGGGTTATTAGTTTTTAATTAAATTTCAAATCACTTACCTTATCACCGTCATGGGCAGAAAGATGTTGGACAATATCAGCGAGCCGTAGATGACGGCCAGGGTGGTGGTGCCCAGGGCCTTGTCCGCATTCACCGAACTCTGCAGGTTGGATGTGCCGTGGAAGGCTGTGAAGTGTATCATGAAGGCCAGGCCTATCACAACCACGTTTTTGGTTATAATGAATCGCTCTCGCGGCTCGTATTGGCGCTGATTGACTTTGTTGTCGCCATTTGGCCCGATGGCAGCTGTGCCAGTCGAGTGGCCATTGATGTTCTGGTTCCTGCCGCCACTGCCGTTCCCCTGACCCTCGAGGGCCAGTTCCTCGTTGTTGCCGTCCGATGTGTCAACCGGGTAAACCATCCTTGGCTTTTAGGGTGCAACGATAGCTGAGGGAGGTACCTAAAAGGACACGAATTCCATTGTTTATTATTTGCTTGCAAAATCAAGTAAGGTAGTATGTTGTTGTTTCAACTATGGTTTTTGAGAGGTATCTTGGAAATGAAAATGTGGAAATGAACAATGAACCACCTGACAAACATTGCACTCTGATAGAGGCTTTCTCCCACAGGATTTCTGAATTCCATCATCGGACTTACACAGAGTAGACCTTAGACTGCCCATTTCTAATTGGAATTGCAGTTAGTAGGTTGCATTCCAATTTGGATTACTTGACAAGAGGCTGGGGTTTATTTCAAATTCGGCTTTCAAATGCCAATTTCTAACCCATTCAGAGACCTCAAAATGGGGCGTCCTGCCGTTTCGGATGCCGCTCAACTTGCTGAACTTCACAGGATCAGCTTTAATTTATTCATATCGCTCTCCGTCTGGGCCATACATTTTCGGAGCTTTTTTGGGGTTCAGTTTCTTTTATTCGCATTCCGGCAGTAAGCCTATTTCCGATGCCGTTGCCGCTGCCACGCCCATTCGCCCATACGCCCAGGACACACAAAACGCCCACACGTCCAAATGGGCTTGAGGCTCAAGGACATTTTCGCCAACTTATAATCCTTTAGGCTGGCTTACAGCACGAACTCCGTCTGCCAGCCGACAATTTATGCCCGTCTACGCCCAAAAAAGCGGGGATGGATGGAAAGCGATTCTGTGACTTTGTTTGCATTTGATTTTGGGCTACGGCAACGACACTTTATGAAATCTTACACCTTTGATACAAAGTTAAAGGTTTGTTTGCCAACTTCTGAGTGGCTACACATCCCATTCCGCCTCGCGGCTCTTGTCTTGATTTAATGTAAATCGCTGGCGGTACACAAGACCGTTTGAGATTCGGTGTCGGCAGCCTCCTTTGGTGGCCTCCACCAAAGGCTGGAAGTGTAAATTGATTTTGGATACCTTGAGGCGTTCCGCGAAATTAATTGCCGAAAGTTGGTTGAGTCATTAGACCAGTCAATGAAAGTGTAATAGCATCAGCGAAATCGGAGCTGTAAATCACATTAAAAGCCATTACAGCCCAACACTGAAACATTAATCATACGCAGTGTGAGCCAACATGCCGACAAAGTCACATTCCAGAAGGAGAATGTACTTTAAATGGCTAGTTGACAGCCCATATGGGAGGCAAAATACGAGATAGAGGAGGTGTTTGGAGGCAATAGAAAATTTTACCTAATGTCGGGTCAACGAGAGCATCATCGTTCATCATCTAAATGAAAATCTGGCATAATCATCAAAATGGGCGCAACCCAAATGGCTGGCCATTTGTTTTTTATGCACAACTCGCCACCGCCCTGCCCCTTTTACACTCTCGTCCAGGACTCCGGCATTAAACAAAATATAAAGCAAAGCCCCAGGACATGACGTTGGCTCGTTAAAGGCCATTCGGGCTTTATATAAAATGCGAAAGAGTCCACTGGACTCGGCCTGATAACAATGATTTTGTTGAGGCTTGAATTCTGTTTCATGTTTTATGTTCCTCCTGGCTGGTTGACCAGTAATTTTGTTAAATTATTGCCCCAAAAATGACAGTCGGTCGGCCGGCCTGTCAGTCAACTAGAAGGTCCTCCAAAATAGGAAAAGTGTTACGGTTTTCTCTCAATTGAAACTGTATATGCGCAGCATATATATGCGCTAAGACATAAATCTCATTCGAAACTTCAATTTGTATCCCTCAACTTTGTTTTACATTTGTTTAGATTTGATAAATCGACTCCGGCATATGTTGAGGTTCTTGTTTACACATTTGCCTGTCGGCCCGAAATACAAGAAAAAAAATAAAGGAGCAACCACTCCGCCCACATTTACCTTTGCCTCCTACACACTAATCAATCACTGCCCCAAAAAAAAAAAATGGGTTCGGAATGTCCGTATGTGGGGCAAACAAAAAGATTGACTTATGGCGCTGACACAGAGCAAATAAATACAGCAGCCTCCTGGCCAAAATAACTTGGCACTTAGCCGCACATGTTGGCCTCGTCAGGCATTAATGTCTCGCAATTAACTTTAGATCAATTATGTAGCTGGCGAGTCTGGAGTTTTGCCTGTTAATTAGGCAGCAAGCCAGGCAAAATGGCCAGATGAGTGGCCATATAGTGGGGTTAGGCGAGGGTTCTACCAACCGCTGGGAGTAATTTTCCAATCCGTTTCGCTTTTGCTTCCTGTTGGCAGAAAAAGGTTTTCGAATATATGGTCGCTTGCCAAGATTATCCTAACACTAGTTTAAATAGTCTGAATAGTAGGATTTACTAAAACAAATGTACTTTTGTTTCAGATACTTTTCTAAAGTGCATCCTGGAGCGTTTCCAATCTCCATTACCCTTTGATAGGCAATGGAACAATAGATCCACATGAACAATTGTCCGAATTGAGTCTTTGATTCTTCGTCAAACGTGTGAACTCAGAAGCCATCAACTATTTGATTTGCTTTCTAGTTGGTATGCGGGGTCGGTGCTTTGGCATTGTGCATAGTACCTGGCTTTTATGACATCCTCAAAGGACATAACAATGCAGTGCATCCACAGGATGCCAAAAACTTTTGTGCTCAGCAAACTTTGTACCTCCCACAGCAACGCAACAAAGCAAGTGCAAATGAAAGTGCGACGATAAGTTTTCCCCCTTCAATAAAAGGATAAAGAAGATACAGAGGAATATTTAGCTGACCACTTCCTTGAAAATGAAATACAGTATTAATGCCCAGGCGCAGCAGAGTGTAGATAAATCTTGAAGTGAAAGGCGCCGCAGGATGGAAAATATTTTTATGACCCACTGCTGGGCCAAAGAGGAGCTTGTTTTATGGCCCGACATGTGGACTCTAGTTGGATTGCTGGCGTTTTGTTCGTTATGTAGTCCCGGAAAATATTAAATTAGTTGTATCTCTTCAAATTCATTTATTCACGGAAATTACAATGCAATGCAGTGCTTATCCCATTTGCATAACCCAAAAGTTTCTTTGTGTCTGCAAATATTATTTAACTTCCAACTAATATTCAATGAATTTCATAAGAGCGGTGAATATTTTAATTTATATAAGCTTATGGCTTCAAGGATGTATAAATTCAAAATCAAAAGTTATCTTTAAATTTAATACTGTTCTTCTGGCAATGCCAAATCTAAATGAAGCTTATTCCGCCGAGTACATAAAAGTTATAAATATTAAATGGTCCATTTCAACCACTGTGCAATGCCGTAATGCAAACGTAAACGTTTTCATTACTCCAGCGGAAGTTCGGGGCCAATAAAAATGACAATAATAACAGCGGGTGTGAGGCGGGGGAGTGTGTGGTTGTGGCGGAGTGAGCTCCACCAAAAATATATCCGACCCAGTTCAATCAAATCATTTTTACTTTCACTTTAATATCAGCACTTACATTCGGATGCTGTGATTCCGCCGGCTAACATGGCTGTTAAAATTTCCCTCTTTCGGCCAACAGTTGGGCTAACAGAACAGAAGAGAGTTGGTTAAGAGAGCGGCCATTGCTCAGTTTCTAATCAATGATAAGGATTCAACGAAATCATCTTCACATCTATCAAATTGATTGATGGTCAGGACTCTCAGAGATAAACGAAAACTGGTTGATAAATATGCAAGGTATAATTGGCACAATTCAGAGAAAACTGAAGAGCTGAAGCATGACCTTAGATGCAGATAGAGCAGCAGATGCAACTTTGTGGCCACATTTATGCAACTGACTGAAAAGTTTTGCGTGCCCCCAACTAATTTTCCCGCTTGATAGCCAAACAGCTGCAGCAACAATGTACACAGCATCAAAAGTAAAAGCATCTGGCGGTAAGGGCAGGTGTAGCACTCATAACTGTGCTGCAGCGCTACGCCAAAGTGCAAGGAAACGGAAATGAAGTGGCCACACACACACACACATACATTTATGTATGCCCTGATGATGTGGCCAATAACTTTCTGGTGGGGCTTAATGTCAAACCGTCAGACCCACAATCGCGGAAATCTTTATATATTCATTCTCTGACCTCCTCAAGGGCCATGACGAGTCTTTTGGGGCACTGTGTTTGCCGCTTATTTCCGCTTTGCCGCCCTTTTCCTGTTTCCGCTCTCGCCTTAGTGGGCATGTGTGTGCGTTATGCGTATTCCGTTCAGTAACTGCACTTTATGCGCTTTCTGCACTTGTTGGATGTGCTCGATTTTCCACTTTTCCGGCTGTTGTGTTTGAGGGCTAGTGCTTAGCTTTGCAATCGAGAGTAAGTGCTTCCTCTTTTTGGAAATATTATTTAAGTTGAATACGTTTATTTTATGTATTAAATCTGATACTTGTCCTTTTATGACTGAAATATTCATTTGTGGTCAGAACTTAAAATGCTAACCACAACACGTGGTTGCAACTGAAAGAGTCGAATAATTATTTTTGAATTATTCAGAGATTTTTAATCAGGCTAAAGTGATTTGATGTGTCTGGGAATGCAGAAATCAAAGCTAATTATCATTCATTCGCTTAGTTTGCCCTCCGCAACTACCAATAGCCTCCATTCAAATGGCAGCCAAATGCCAATATTGGCAATGTGTTGGCCTGGCCAACAGACAACCATAAATACGGTAATGGAACAGTGAATGCAAATTCCAACCAAGTTCAGCGCCTGGGTCCTCCGCAACCCCCTTTTTGATTCGAAGGGTTGGGTTCGGGATTAATGATAAAATATGCGATAATCAACATGAACTGCATGGCCAAGTGTGGGAAGTTGTGCTAGCTTTTGATGATGCAATTTTCTCAACAATTTCCAGTGGTATACTCCCCCTATCCGGGGCACACTCACGTTTCGCTGGGCAAGTTAAACACGATATTATGACTCCATCTAGTTTGCAAATGTAATTTATGCCAACTGAGCACCAGCCCTACACGACTGACATTTTCGTTCTCCATAATTTATTTAATATACGAAAGCATAATATAAATATTTGCCACATGCTGCACGATGAAAACGCTGATGAGGGAAAGTTCGGTCCGTTGGCAGAGGCGACACGGTCTGCCCAACGACAATTGGCTGCAACAGTAATGAGTGGCAGCCACCCACTGCTCCACCTTTCCGCCCTCTTTTGGCCTACTTTCTCTTAGGAATGCAACACAGCCTCCACACATATGCCTTTCTCATATTTTTTCTATAATTTCACACTTCCGCAGAGAATTTTAATAAATAATAAAACAAGGCAACCTTCATTATGAAAGGACAGTTGTATAATGTTTCATTTACTGATCCTTTGTACCTCCTCCCTGTTAAATACATATTTTTAATGGATATATTGATTGGATTCCTTGAGAACAATTTAAAATTCGCCAGTTGGTAAGTTAAACTTGAAAGCGGAAAGTCATTGTGTATTTATTTGCATTCACTTCGATTCTGCAGCTACATATTAATGAACGTGGAATTCCCTGCGATGGAGTATACGTGCGATACGTATGTATTCAGAAGTTTTTCATGGAAGGAAACTTTATGCGGATTAATTTGTTGAGCATCAAGAGAATAAGGACATGAAATCCGAAGCGGTTAATTAAGGGCGAAGGATTGTGCAACGACAACAGCTCTGTGCAGAAATTATTAATTTACGCTCGACATTAAGGTATTCATTGGCCAGTGATTGTTTCTGCTCTTTGTTGATTGTAACTTTTTTTATTTCAATTAATTTTTGGCTCCTTACAATGTTTTCCACCTGTCTGATAAATTGTTTTTCATTTATTTACTCATTTTTATTTGATGGAAGAAAGGCGCCTTCTTGACGGTTGCATTCATGGCTTTTAATTAACTTTTCTGGCGAGCTTTTTAATTTAATTAACTTGATATGCCTTCTGCAAATATCTACAAAAACCACTATCAATACATATTTAAGTTTTTCTTTTACGAAAAAACACAAAAACTCAACATAATATCCTTAAAAATCTGCACTGTTTCACGAAGCTTTACCTGCAGGCTTATTGGGATTTTCAGGTACAGTTTACACTGAGAACGAAATTCTTCACTGGTCTTGACGTTGATGCCCAAACGGGGTAATATCTGGTTTGGTTTCTTGTTTATTTTATTTACATCGAGATGGGCACGCGGTTTTAAAAACAAGTCGCTCAAACTCAGGCGGAGGGAACTCAACCGTTTTCGAGCGCAATTAAAACTAAACTAAAATCTCGGACGGCGAACTTCTAAATATGAATTGGAATGGAAATGAATCGAATGCGACAACTCAACAGCAACAGGTTTGAGCTCTACGCTCTCGGCTTGATGACGATGGATTTGCATAATTCCGACATTTCAAATTTTTAATATCTTTTTTTTCCAATATTCCAATATCGGTATTTTATTGCAATTCCCTTGAGCAAACTTACAAGAAACGTGACGCCTGTGTGGGCGTGTCAGGGCCTTATTTTTAATGCCAAGTTCACCGCAGTTCTGCGGTTAGCCACCTGGGATGGCATCTCCAGTTGCCAGAAATGTTGGTACTAATTATTATTAATCATACGCCGTGTTGACGGCTTCTTGACTTGCTCACTGATTCATGTGGAGCAAACCAAGCTGATAATTAAAACACACACCTTAACTGGTAACGATTAATTTAAAATAACTAGTTTTAAAGTGTTTAATGGTAGTTTTGCAAAAAGGTATCTATGTGAAATATTTTTCAAAAATAATAATTATTTCTTTCAAGTGTAGGTGACCGCTCACTTAAACTTGTTTGCATATCGAGGAAGTGTAATGAACGCCAAACACTGCCGACTTGAGCGATTTAGATAGTCAGTTGTCTTAAAACAGATACATTAATTAACTTTTCAGCGGGTTGTTGGGCGCTGAATCAACTCCGAACGCGAATCACCATTGAACAAGTCCGATTGACAGTAACAAATGAGGTCCAAACCCGAGCTCGACGAACTTTCTTACCAATTAGGATGAGTTTGCTCAATAGATAACGTCTGATAAGGCAACAAGGTGCTGCGCCGCATTCGAGATAAAATCGGAGCAACAATTGGCCGGAATCGACGCTGATAAATGTAATTTGTCAATACCTCGCCCATGTATCGACATTATCTCCCCAGAAAACACTCTAATTTGTGTATTCCGATTCGATGCTAATTACACAACAACCGCAGCCAGACAATTATTTGTGGCCTGAAATGGATTTAATATTTTGGTCCAGGGAATCGGGGGAAGTTTAAATGGTAAATTCCCTCGATGCGTCACTGAGAAAAACAGGTTTAGGAATGTTTTTGTTTATTCTGGCCGATTGCCCTGCAAAACCACCGGGTAAGTGATACATTCGATTTTAAATTGGTCACAGTTTGAGCATTTTGGGGGTCTTAGTATTTTGCATAAGCTGCTTATGTGCTTCTCGCAACCAGAGAACCCAAAATCCAAACATCAATTCGGTTTGTGGCGGATGGCGCTTGTGGCGATTTTGGCCAGGTCTCGTACGTATCACGTACTCGGACACCTTTCACTTGCTAACTACTATATGTGTCTGAAATTCAGTGCTCTCGGCTCGCAAATCTGGCCCAGGGTCAACATTTGTGCTCTTGTGCACATATTTCTGCCGGCTAGCTCTGAGTTGACACTTTTGGCATCGAGAATATGAGGCTCACGTTATTAACTGACAGTCGACGACTAATAGAGTTCAACTGGCAGTTGTAACTCAATGGCCGGGCTTAAATTGCAATTTTGGTGCAATAAGCAAATATTTCTTTAACCAGCATTGGCCATCAAGTTTTATTTGATAGCCGTGTTAGAGACTCCCACTTAATTTCTAGAATCAATTTGATTATTTTGTTACCGCCACCAGCTATTTCCTCTAATTAGTATCTCTCTCTAAATAATCAGCAAAAGGCTGTTTAATCACTTCAAAATGTTTATGCAAATCAAATGATATTCAATATGTTGCTTTAATGCAGCTGTTAAATTGTTGTGTTGTTTTAGTTTTTGGTTTAAGCTATGCAGGCGTTTATTTTCAAATCATTTGAATGCTAACCCTAGTGCTGCTGTTGATTTTTTGCCTCATTAAACAAATTGAATGGGCCATCAGCATACTTCTCTACTTTGCAAGTGCATTGCATAATTTAGAATAATAAAACCATGAATTTTGAACAACAAAATTATGTATAAAAAAGAAAGTTTCTGCGCGTTAACGAGTGATTGATTTTAAGACACATTTAAGTCAAGTTTATAATAGTTTTTCATTGCATGAGATTTAAGCCATTATAGGTAATCCGTTTTGGCATCGGTAGCAAAATATATAAAATAATTAAAAAAAGTGAATAAAAAATATATATTTTGACAAAAAAATAATATAAAAAACGAAGTTTATTTTTTTTTTACATTTTTGGATTGAAAAATATTTGTAACTTGGCTAATACTTGTCAGATCCACAAATTTTATACATTCCCGATCATAGAACTCACAGTAGCATCTTTTTCAATCAAAACCTCGCAACAAAAATTTTGACCCATTTTTCGCCATTTTTCAAAGGGGTAACATCATGATTTTAGCCAAAATTTGACCAAAATTTTGTTTGTATAAATTTTTGCCATGTTTTGATGCAGATTACAAGTGATTAGAGTCCTGATTTATAAATGGTATTTCGTTTTGAGAAAGCTTAAGAAATAGCCAAAATATTCACTAAAAAGTGAATCAAAAGTTTGTATTTTGGCCAAGTGAAAAATGTTAAAAATGCTTCTCCAATTTTGTACTTTTTTCGACGGAAAAATATTCATAATTTGGCTAATACTTGTCAGATCCACAAATTTTATACATTCCCGATCATAAAACTCACAATAGCATATTTTTCAATCAAAACCTCGCAACAAAAATTTTGACCCATTTTTCGCCATTTTTCAAAGGGGTAACATCATGATTTTAGCCAAAATTTGACCAAAATTTTGTTTGTATAAATTTTTGCCATGTTTTGATGCAGATTACAAGTGAATAGAGTCCTGATTTATAAATGGCATTTCGTTTTGAGGAAGCTTGAGAAATAGCCAAAATATTCACTAAAAAGTGAATCAAAATTTTGGATTTTGGCCATGTGAAAAATGTTAAGAATGCTTTTCCAATTTTGTACTTTTTTCGACGGAAAAATATTCATAACTTGGCTAATACTTGTCAGATTGACAAATGTTATACATTCCCGATTATAGAACTCACAGTAGCATCTTTTTCAAACAAAACCTCGCAACAAAAATTTTGACCCATTTTTCGCCATTTTTCAAAGGGGTAACATCATGATTTTACCCAAAATTTGACCAAAATTTAGTTTTTATAATTTTTGCCATGTTTTGATGCAGATCACAAGTGATTAGAGTCCTGATTTATAAATGGCATTTCGTTTTGAGAAAGCTTGAGAAATAGCCAAAATATTCACTAAAAAGTGAATCAAAAGTTTGTATTTTGGCCAAGTGAAAAATGTTAAAAATGCTTCTCCAATTTTGTACTTTTTTCGACGGAAAAATATTCATAATTTGGCTAATACTTGTCAGATCCACAAATTTTATACATTCCCGATCATAAAACTCACAATAGCATATTTTTCAATCAAAACCTCGCAACAAAAATTTTGACCCATTTTTCGCCATTTTTCAAAGGGGTAACATCATGATTTTAGCCAAAATTTGACCAAAATTTTGTTTTCATAATTTTTATCAAGTTTTGATGCAGATTACAAGTGAATAGAGTCCTGATTTATAAATGGCATTTCGTTTTGAGGAAGCTTGAGAAATAGCCAAAATATTCACTAAAAAGTGAATCAAAAGTTTGGATTTTGGCCAAGTGAAAAATGTTAAAAATGCTTCTGCAATTTTGTACTTTTTTCGACGGAAAAATATTCATAACTTGGCTAATACTTGTCAGATCCACAAATGTTATACATTCCCGATTATAGAACTCAGAGTAGCATCTTTTTCAATCAAAACCTCGCAACAAAAATTTTTACCCATTTTTCGCCATTTTTCAAAGGGGTAACATCATGATTTTAGCCAAAATTTGACCAAAATTTTGTTTTCATAATTTTTATCAAGTTTTGATGCAGATTACAAGTGAATAGAGTCCTGATTTATAAATGGCATTTCGTTTTGAGGAAGCTTGAGAAATAGCCAAAATATTCACTAAAAAGTGAATCAAAAGTTTGGATTTTGGCCAAGTGAAAAATGTTAAAAATGCTTTTTCAATTTTGTACTTTTTTCGACGGAAAAATATTCATAATTTGGCTAATACTTGTCAGATCCACAAATGTTATACATTTCCGATCATAGATCTCACAATAGCATCTTTTTCAATCAAAACCTCGCAACAAAAATTTTGACCCATTTTTCGCCATTTTTCAAAGGGGTAACATCATGATTTTAGCCAAAATTTGACCAAAATTTTGTTTTCATAATTTTTATCAAGTTTTGATGCAGATTACAAGTGAATAGAGTCCTGATTTATAAATGGCATTTCGTTTTGAGGAAGCTTGAGAAATAGCCAAAATATTCACTAAAAAGTGAATCAAAATTTTGGATTTTGGCCATGTGAAAAATGTTAAGAATGCTTTTCCAATTTTGTACTTTTTTCGACGGAAAAATATTCATAACTTGGCTAATACTTGTCAGATTGACAAATGTTATACATTCCCGATTATAGAACTCACAGTAGCATCTTTTTCAAACAAAACCTCGCAACAAAAATTTTGACCCATTTTTCGCCATTTTTCAAAGGGGTAACATCATGATTTTACCCAAAATTTGACCAAAATTTAGTTTTTATAATTTTTGCCATGTTTTGATGCAGATCACAAGTGATTAGAGTCCTGATTTATAAATGGCATTTCGTTTTGAGAAAGCTTGAGAAATAGCCAAAATATTCACTAAAAAGTGAATCAAAAGTTTGGATTTTGGCCAAGTGAAAAATGTTAAAAAGAATGTTTCAGTTTTTTCACTTTAAGAGGTGAGAAAATATTCATAACTTGGCTACTAATTGTCAGAACTTGTAACAGTTAGAACAGTAGTATTAATGCGATTTAACATAGCATCCACTTGGAAAAGCTTACTTAAGCTAATACCAAAACCAGGTTTTGGGACAAAGCTCTCTAAAAATATGATTTGTAGGAGCTCAGATAAAAATTTCTAAAATTAAAATTAAAACTTTATAATGGGAAACAATTATG